TTCAGAGTGTGCAAAATCTGACAATATCAATCCAATTTTCATTTTGAACTGGGTTTTTCTGCAGACCCAAGAAGAATTCCTTTCCCTTGCTCCTGAAATGTTGTACCACCTTAGTCTTAAGGCCATTGTCTTAAAAAAGAGCACACAGAATTTTGTAAATTTCTTAAAATCAGTCTGAACTTAGAAGCTGGTTATCCACAGAAAACTTATTTTGATAGCAAGTGTCTATCTCTGAAAAAACTTGCTGATCGTAAGTAGCGATATAATCATTGTTGCGAGGATAAGGAACATAAGGTTAAGCAAACTTCATTTTAAAATAAAACTTGCAATAAAGAGGTGATTGTTTACCTCTTTAGATCCATCAGTGTTTCAGCCATCATGACAGTGCCACTCTTGAGAAAGTCCTCTTTCTGCAAGGTTTCCAGTAACTTGGGTAGTCTGTGCAGGAAGCTCCAGAGATATTGGTCCCTATGAATTCTCACAAGGTCAAGTATAAAATTCTCACCTCTGTCCAGATCATCCTAAAAAAAATCAACAAAGAATCCTTGCTTAACTTCCAGATTGACCAGTACAAGCAATATCATAGGGCTGAGCTCAGGTTTTGTGTAGAGATGGGTGTGACAGTACATTTCTAATTCTCATTTACCATTGCCAGTCTAGTTAGAATGACTCCAAAATAATCAAAGCTAACATTCAATTACTTTAGGAAAATGAAGTCTGCATACCCAGAGTTGGGCAATTTTCTATTTTATTGACAAATCTTGATATTCATGGTAGCAAATTTCTGGTATTAAAGGTAAGGGTTTCAATTCCCAAATCATTTTGGGTGGTTAGCCAGGTGCTTGACACGTGCATCAACTATTCACCGTTTAAACCAGACTAAGAGTTCCATGTATGTCACCTACACATAGAAATTTCCATGTCTGGAATGAAATGTGCATACTCTCCCCAGGGGAACACACCCTTCTTGCCAAATCTGGATTGTATTAGGCACAGGTTGTTAAGGGATGTGTGGATTCCAGACTGTACTTGAAGTTAAGCAGCTGAAAGCACTGTCTTGGCAAGCTTCCCACTCTTGTCCGGCTGGGGCCACCCTGCCTGTTAGTGTTTCGGTTTGCAGGATTAACAGGGCTGAGTGGGAGGAATGGATCAGGATATTGGTTCTGCACAGTGATTTTCCACTCAGTCTCAGTGAGGACCTCCCTCGTACCACACAGATAGCGAATGAGTGGAACTCTGTTATAACACAGTGCTTAGGATTCATGGAAACCCAAACGCCTTGTGGTTGGGTTCACTTCATGTGCTCAGCCAGCCAACTCAATTCCCACGCACCAGGTAGTTCTTGAGCTAAAAGAAATGTCCAACTTCTAAGTTATCAGGTTGCCACCAATGTCAGTTCCATGTTTAGCACGTGAACAGGTTCCTGTCTGGGACCTGAGTCGGCTGGCTAGCTGTATACTCAGTGAATGGGGTCCACGTAATCAATTATAATAATCTTTGAATTTGCTATAGCACTTTGTCATGTTGTTAAAACATCTCAAAACACTTCACAGACTATATTATTAAGTGAAGTGACTGTATATTTTCGTGTGCACAGCAGTGTCCCACACACAGTCATGGATTGAGTGATCACATTTTTGGGGGGAGGGCCAATGATTGAATGGCACATCAATTATACACAAGAAGACAACTTCCTGCTTTGTTGAGGGGGTGATTTACGTAGATGAAAAGGACCCATTTTTTATGTCAGAGGCCAGATGCTTTTAACAAATCAGTGTAGGTTGTTTTCCTTTTGTTTCTGTGTTGAGTGAAGAGTTCACTGATTGTCACTCTAACAGAAGAAACATGGTATGAGCACTCAGGGTGCAAAAGAGAAGAAAGGAGAAGAATTCAGCAAACCCAAAGAATGTGAATTGGGCCAAACTCATTGTGGGAATGCAGCAAAGGCAGTTCTAGTGCGGATCACTTCAAGGTATGAATGTGAGTCATCATTCCCAGAAGCAGATGAAGTGCCACATCTAACTGAACCAACCTGTTTGTTTCTTTTCAAAAGCTATATTTGAAATGGGGATAAAGTAGGATTCTTCTGTTTTAAAGTTGTGATGGTATTTTCTGTCTCCCTATAGAGGGCAACTTAAAGAAATCTATCGGTGGTTGTTGCACTCAGTTTTAATACAAGAGATCTAATTTATAGTGAGGTAAAATTTGAGATATTCCTTATTTAATACTGGTGTAAACTATCAGATGGCCACACATCCTTCCAGGTCAGTGGTTCCTAGCTTTCTCTGTCCCAGTGCCACTTTTTTTTTTAAAAAAAATCGGAAGTGGGTGATTTTTATTTATTTAGACTTTGGGTCCTACTTCAGGAAGTTTGTTTGCGAGATATTTCTTTTCCAGTCTTGTTCTGTTCAAGTCAAAAAAAACTAATTTTTAATCAATTGAATAGGCTGGACTTGAGATCAATCACGAAAAGTTATTTTTTGGCTCAAAACAACGCAGATCCTATTTTCTACCTCATTTTTATTGATAAGTGTCTGTGATGGGAAGGCTAAGACATAATGCTATCTATAATTAGTTATCATAATTGATCACTCACCAAACGTATTCCAGAATCTGTAAAGAAAAAAAAAGATTTGAGATATGCCTTTGCAACCTACAATAGTTCAGACTTAACCTCATAGGAATATAGAAAAGTAAAGGACCAGAGAAGACTGTTGTTTTAACCATTGTGGTCCACTTAGCAAGTCCAGTAGATTCCGCAAACAGCTGATCTGAGTATATCTAAGACCAAGCATAATATTCCACAGAACTATGGAGAACATTGTATGGAAATTGGCCAGTGATTTCACAATGATTGGATACAGCAATAACAAAGCAGGGTGATCCAACAGGCGACCCACAAGCCTGCTTCATCTGCTCCCCCCACCCCTCAATTTCTCCATAACCCAACAATGTTATTTTATGCTTCTGGAAGGGAAACACAAAACTACTCATAATAATCCTTGCATTTGATGTAGCACCTTATCACATCTGAACATGCTTCACAGAATATACTGTAAAGTGAATTGACTGGATATTTTGTACATATTGACTGTACAAAATATTGCTTGTGCACAGACATTTTTCAAATAGGGCATCCGGCCCTCAGCTGCCGAAAGGTTGGACCAACCTGACTTAAAGTAATAACAAAAAAGTTTTATTCATTTAGCACCTTTCATTTCAAATCACTGTTTGATAAGTATTGGCATGGATACCCACGAAGGAAATAAGAGATTTAAAGATGTTGACAACATATTCAAAGGGAGAGGCAAAATACAATACGATATACGCTGCTGTGCGCAATTGGCTGCCACGTTTCACCCACAGATATACAGTCAATTCACTTTACAGCATATTATGTGAAGCGCTTTGAGACGTCGAGAAGATGTGAAAAGCGCTATATCAAATGCAAGGATTATTATTTATTATATATTTCTGCAGAGCCTTTCACGTCAGGCGGACATACCAAGCATATTATACAGTTGGCTGGGCACCCAAAATGTGATGTAAAACCCAAATGGTTTTGGAAGAGAGTTCTAGAGGACCAGGTCATGAAGGTCAAGGGTGTGAGATATTTCCTTTTTACACCTCTCGAGGCGTGGGTGATCTGGATATCCTGAGTGGTTGGTGGTGGGCATTCTGATTAAACTACTTTAATGTTTTTTATTGTGGTTTTCTTACACCTGAATGGCTTGAATAGCCATTCCAGAGGGCATTAAAAGTCAACCGGCTTGCAGTATGGCAGATTTCTTTCCCTGTAGGACATTAGTGAACCAGTTGGGTTTTCCCAGTGCTCACTTAAATTATTAATTTATTTGGGGTACTGGTAGCTAATGGAGCTTAGTTTGACTGAATGGCGTTGTGTCACTATAACATAATATAACATAACATGTAAGAGCAGGAGTAGGCCATTCGGCCCTTCGATTCTGCCCCGCCATTCAATCATGGCTGATCTAATCTAACTCCTCATCTAGATCGTTTAATGTAGATGGTAAATAGCTGAGGTCCAAGGACTGATCCTTGTGGCACTCCACAAGTCACATCCCGCCAATCTGAAAAGGACCCATTTATCCCTACTCTTTGTTTCCTACCCGTTAACCATTACCCAATCCACGTTAATATGCTCCCCTCAATTCCATGGGCTCTTATCTTTTGGACTAACCTTTTATGCGGCACCTTACCGAATGCCTTCTGGAAGTCCAAACAGACCACATCCACTGATTCACCCTTATCTAGTTTACTGGAAATATCCTCAAAAAACTCTGAGATTTGTCAAACATGACTTCCCTTTTTTAAAGCCATGTTAACTTGGCCTAATTATGTGGTGCTCCACTAAATACCGCACTACCACATCCTTAATCAATGATTCTAAAATTTTTCCTATCACTGATGTGAGACTAACTGGCCTATAGTTTCCCATCTTTTCCTTTCCACCTTTTTAAGTAGTGGTGTGACATTTGCGATCTTCCAATCCATGGGGACTGTTCCAGAATCCAAGGAATTTTAGAAGATCAGACACAAGGCCTCCACTATCTCATAAGCTACCTCTTTTAAAACCCTGGGATGCAAGCCATCCGGACCAGGAGATTTGTCACTTTTTAGTGCTAACAGTTTCCCTAGCACCATTCTCTACTAATGAAAATTTCCCTAAGTTGGTCCCTGTCCTGATCCCCTTGGTGCATCTCTATTGTTGGCAGAATTGTTGTGTCTTCTAGGGTGAAGACAGATGCAAAGTATCCATTTAGGGACTCTGCCATGTCCTTATCCCCCATTACAACTTCTCCCGTCTCTGACTGAAGTGGACCTACATTTACCCTCACTAGCCTATTCCTCTTAATATATTTGTAAAAACTTTTACAATTAGACTTAATATTTCTATAAATCTCTCAAAACCTGGCAGACTCGAGTTCTCCGTCTTACCACATTACCTGACTGCCCAAACAATTCTTCATATTCGGTTTGTAAGTTAGCTGCGCTTGTCAGGGTTTCATTGATTTGCTTTCCAATGTCTTGTAATGAACTCAGGACACCGTTTTGATTGTTTATGGTATTCCTCAGGGTGCCAGATGACCTGTGAGTGACAACATGAAATAGTTATTCAGCACCAGTTTGTCAAGACCTTGAGCTTTACCTCACGATTGGTAAATCTTACAGTGTGTCAATACTCAAAATAATGACATGGGAGACCCATGAGAATGTGCCTCGGTTGAATGTGGATTCACATAGAACACAAATCTATTGTCTGACTGTGTCTGCTGTACCGCAAGCATGGTACCCCTGGTTACTGGGGCTGACTCGCCAGTTTCCTGCACTAAAAACAAATGTCATCAGAACATAACATACATGCACACATCAACATGCAGGAAGTGATGTCAGCAGCCACCTGATAGCCCAGAAATCGGCAATTTATGTTGCACTTTGTTGTATGATATTGGACGCAGATCACCACATTTATGATAGTTGTCTTGTAGTCAAAAAAGTCACATGATCCAGAGGCATGAAATTCTACTACTTAGCCTCTGAGAGAAATTTTCCCTAATATTTAAGATTGTACAGAATTGTGAAAAGTTCTTAAATTCTGTGTTAATTGGAAGCTGGTTGTTTTTAAGAACAGTGCAAAACCAGCTTCCAATTAAAGGTTAAATTTAAGAATTGTCCACAATTCTGCCCAATCTTATATTTTTAAAATAAAAATGGTCTTACAGTAAAGACTGAGTGGAAATTTGGGTCCCAGTTCTTGAAATTTCTCAAGGCATAAATGATACAAAAAGATATTATTTGACCTTGAGCGCAAAGTTAGAAGGCACAGGCATATTTGGTCTCTATAAAATTCAAACCCGCCTTATAACATGGTGTAATAAACAGCGACACCGCTCCATCCTTCTACACCACAGTGACATCACGGTGCATGTGCTCAGAATGCTGTCTGACTCCGATGGCACATATTGCACTGCAAATTGCAATGATTTAGCCTTCACTTACTTAAATTGCATTGTCACGCTTCAAAACACATCTTTGAAGATATTGTGTTCAATTGCATCACTATAATTAGATCTGAGGCGTTTTGAAGCATGACAATGCACTTTGAAATGGGATGAGAGATTACAAAGGCACCATGTCAGGATTTAGGATTTCATGAATTTAGGAAGAAGAAGTGGAACATACGTGCACAGTGAAGGAATGTGCTTTAATAAAGAAAAATAATTAGTGTGAGACTCTTGAGATCTCATTTAATGCATTAGTTTGAAACTGTTATAACTGTAATTAATTATAGACTGGGTTGAACCTCACCTGAGACTTTCATTTGATTATGACTAGAAACAAGTTATTCCACTGTTGTAGAGATCGGGGCTGGCTGAATTAGGAACAATGTACAAGCTCCGGGCACTCTACCTTAACATACTTAGATACTTGGGAGAAGAGGTAAAGGATGATTCCAAAACATAGGATTCAAAGCTTGTTTTTAAGGAGAAACTCACAGACAGTGAACGTATTTTCGTTTGACAAAAGAAAGTTGAAAGGCCAGGACATCCAAGCATATAAAAATACTGAGAAGTACTGAGATAGTCTAAATGCAAGGAAGCCACAGCCAGACCCTGTTACACAGTATTCAGATATGTATGTAACAAGGCGGCACTGTGGGTCCGCAGTACTTTCTGTGTTCGGCACGCTAGTGTAGCTTTCTGGTGCAGAAGGAATGTTGGCATCCCAGAAAGTACTGGAAAGACTCACAGGTTGTCAGCCTCCGGCAAACATCCACACCCAGGTTTGATCACATCAGAAGTAACATCAATGCCTAATGCCCTGAAGGACTGACTGACTGACTGCATTTCAGGTCATTTCGCTGCCGTTGATGTTATTCCTGACGTCATCAACCTGGATATAGTTTAACCACTCGTTCTAAAGTGAGGTATGAATTTATGGAAAGAAGCCACCACAATAGCAGGGTCTAACTCTATTCAACTCATATTGGGAGCATAGACTGGAGGTTATGAACATTAAATTTGCAAGTATATAATTACAGTGAATGAATAACATGAATTACAAAGGCATTTTCCCCCACACAGCATTGAACAGTGTGGAATAACCTCCTGCTCTGCTGCGTTGATTAATATGTTCAAATGCTAGCTGGATAAATAATAATATTATTATAGCTGGATAAATATCTCAGAAACTAGCAGGATTGAGGGCAGCAAGAGTAAGAATTGTCTTCTTAGTAAAGTTTCCAGTAAAGCGCTCCAGGACACTACCCTGGGTGAAGGGCGCTATATAAATGAAAGTTGTTTTGGTGTTTCTTGGTAGTTGAAGCGCCATGAGACGTCTCAACGATGTGGTAAGGCGCTATACCAAATGCAAGGATTATTATTATTATTGAATCTGTTTACTTGATGGGCAACATTGTCTGTGAGTTGGATTCAAATCGTACATTTGTTGTAGCAACATTGTGTGTTCGGTAGTGAATTGTGGAGGGAGGGGAGGGAAAGTGGAGGGGAGGCAAAGAGATGGGAGTGGAGAAGAGAAGGTTTGGGGACGGTAGGAGTTGAGAGAGAAAAGAAGAGAAGAGGAAGGGAGGGGCGGGGAAGGGAATGTTCTTTTTTAAAATGTAAATTGTGAAATAGTATGATTTTATCATACAATTTACAGATTATTGATATGTACAAAATAACATGAATAAGATCTTATAAAGTACTCAGAGATTCTGCGGGCGCTATATAAATGTAAATTATTGTTTTTCATGTTTACAGATAGGGAAATGCCTAATGACTCGCTCTATGGTGATAACAGTTGCTGAGAAGACAACACCCATTTCAATAGAAAACATTTGCTGAAAGTAAACTTTCTGGAGGTTATTGCCGTTCATCTAAATTCAGGTTACTGTTGTTCATCAACAACAACAAGATTCCATTTATTGAGCGCCTTTCACATCGGGAGGACGTCCCAAGGCGCTGTACAGTTGGGTCAGGACCCGAGCAGGGGGAAATGGTCAGGGTGAGGGGAGGGAAGGGAGGGAGCGAGGAGGGGGTAGAGAGTCGAGAGGGGAGCTGAAGGCACGGTCAAAGAGAAAGGTCTTGAGACCGGCCTTGAAGGAGGAAAGGGAGGAAGCGGCGAAGGCACTGGGGATGGAGTTCCAGAGCCTCGGGGCTGAAGGCCCGGCCACCGATAGTAGGGCGGTTGGGGCGGGGGATGTGGAGCAGACCGGAGCCAGAGGAACGGAGGGTACGGGCGGGTAGGTAGGGGGATAGTAGGTTGGAGAGGTAGGAGGGAGCAAAGCTGTGAATGCATCATTGCAGAAGGTGGTCAAAATCGTGGAACCACCTACCCAAAACCAGTTTTGCACCTTGAGCACCTTCACCACAAAGACAGCAGAAGTTTAAAGAGAAAGCTCCACCTTCTCAGAACAAAGATGGGCATTATATGCTGACCCCCATTAGCATCATCTATGCCCTGATGAATTTTTAAAAAAAGATTTGCTTCTGGATCAAATCATAGGTTTCCCTCATGTTGGTCAGACCCATTTCAAAATCCCCCGCCTGAACAACGTCCGAATCTCGCTGCGTGACGTCATTTCCAGGCACCATTTTCAAATGCGCCAGTATGTGGTAAGTATAGTGTAAATTTTACTATCCTTCTGCTACCTTGTCCTCCCTCCTTTCCCTACCTGGCTCTGGCACCTAAGCCATGACTACCATGCCCTCTCTTCCCCCAACCTGTGCTGTCTCCCACAGCCTACAGGCTGAGGCTGCCCCACTGATCACTCGCTCCTGGTCTGTCCATGCTCGTTTTGGCTGCCGACGCGAGCCGCTGCCCCTGAAAAAGTTCCTGCTCCTATTCCCCCACTCTCCGCTACTCCCACTCTGTCCTTCTCTCCCACTGCCCTCCTCGACTTCTCTCTCCTGGACCCCACCACTATCTCCTTCTGCTCCAGCCTGGGCATGCCTCCACTCTCTCTCAATCCCTCCGCCTTACCTAATTCTGGAAAATATTAGTCACAGATTGGCAAGGGCCAAGGCTTGGGGACCTCAGAGTGTGCAGTCCCCAACAGCGGGTACTGACGGAGACTAACTAGCTAAAACCACATAGCTTGCCATTGATATTGCTGTTCGGCAAGCTTTCCCGCTGTTCGGTCCAGCTGACACCACCGTACCCATTGCTGAGTCCTTGCCCCCAGTGACTGGTCTACCCTTCCAGGTCCTGCTGATGAGCCAGGCTGGCTGTGCTGTCATCAGCAGTGCCCTGGAATACTGCAGACCTGCCTGGCTCATGAACCAGACTAGAGACCCTCACAGAGGGCTGTCTCAGTTCTGACATTCAATTGCCAGGCATGTCACCTTGGGAGTCAGTTCAGCTCTAAGGAAACCTGTTTACCTTCCTCCCCCTTGTATTGTATTGAGGATCATTTGTGCAGAGCAAACCTTGTGAAACTGGTTTTGTATGTGTGATATTGAAAGTAGGTTGGATAGAATTACAGAAATGTTCTTGTACTAATAATCCTGGCAGGTCACAAAATGTTTTCAGCGGATTGCTTTTTGTTGGAGATGGAAGTGCAGAGGAAGTTGTGTCTAGCCTATTAAACCATTTTGTCTGAAGATTTGTGATAATGAAGAATTGTGAAAACTTTCTCAATTAAGTTTTAATTTCGTAGCTGATGCCAGGGATATTTTAAGGAAACGTCACTGTTCTTAAATTATAATATCCTTGCAATTGTTTACTCTAAGATTGAATACTATTGTTCTATGGTTAACTCTAACCCAGTGACTGGTCCTGGTACGCAGTCAGACACTACGTACAGCACGCATTACAGTCACGGAACACCTATATTTTAATATTCTCAAACTAGAAGTTGCAACTACAGCTGACACTTTACTTTCAGTCCATTTTACAGTTGAAAAAAAAGCTTAAAGTGTTTCATAAAAGCCCACATAGTAAAGCACTGACGTTTTTTCAATCTTTGGGTTTCACAAATAATTGGTTTTGTTTTTTTTGAATATGAAATCATCTATCACAAACCAAAATTGCAATTGACACAATACATCCCAACTATCACAATTTAGACTCCAATGTTACAACAGGGGAGTCTGCTTCTGATGGCAAGCTAAGCAGTTTGTGATTTTAGCAGTGTGAATTCCAGTAATACCGCAACACACACTTTGTCCCAAAACCTTGGCTCTTTTCAATTTTCACCTAAATTAGTTTTGAATTAGTTATTCAGCGTGTGTCCCTCTAGGGAGAGAGTGATTCTATTCTAGACACTAGGACATTTCCATGCGTTCTTGCCTCATGTACGTGTAAGCATAGTGATGAGTTTCTGCGATTGTCAGACACGCTGCTGAATAAGCATTGAGGTAGAAAGCATTGGGGTCAGTACCTTGTTTTCTGAGACATAGCATCCCCATAGCAATGGGAACCCTCGTCACAAAAGAGACTTTGAACAAATGGGTAAAGTCCTCCACTGGGCAAGGTACGAGGCTCCATGTAGCCTAAAGGAAAAAGAGAAAGCATTTCATATTAAAGACAGCTTAACCTTTACATGAATTACCTGTTAAAAGTGTGTTTTTTAAAAAATAATTATCACTTGAGTTTTAAAATATTAATTTTAAAAAAATGGGGGTGGTGTTTCTTTGCAGGTTTCTTAATTAAAAAATCTGTAGTTATACATTTTCTAAAATATTTGATGCTTTAGAAATTCAATTAATATGACTTTCTTATCTACTGAGATGAATCATTACCATTTGACGAAAGAAATAAACTTGATGAAAATAAAGTGAAACACGGTAATTAAAATTAGACAGTGTTAATTCTAGTGTGGAGAAAAGAGAATAGAATTTTTTAATTAATAATTTCATGTATTCTTGTAATGTTTCTTTAGAAAGAAGATAGCGAGCAGTGTGATTTGGTCAATCTGTGGATCATCTCACTGTCCTTTTACCTCTGAGGTCACATTGATACATTCACTTACAAAATACAGTCACTACACTTTACAGTGAATCCTTTCAAGCGCTTTGAAACATGGAAGGTGCTATATCAAATGCAAAGAATATTATTATGGTATGAAATTAGTCTGAACAGTCACAATCCAGTTCCCAGTGAGCAGGCTGACAACATAAAACTATTGCTCAGAGAAGATGTTGTGTGGAAAATGAATAAGTCACACTTTCTAGTAAAGAATGCAATTCTGATAGAGAGGTTAAGGCACTTTGTTGAGGATAAACACTTTGCACCTTATAGATGATTTATAATATTAATAATAATAATAATCCTTTAATTTAATATAGCAATTTAGCACACCTTCAAGCACAGCAGACTAGACAAGCTCTTTTCTCTTTTCAATGCATGGACACAAGGCAGGACCTTGGTTTAATGTCTCTTCTGAAGATTAGCATCTCTGACAACACATCACGACATGAAGCTTGAACCCACAGCCTTCTGACTCAGATGCAAGAGTGCTACCGAATGACCAGGCTAACACACATACAGCTAAAAGTGATTATTTAATGTAATGATTTTTTAAATATATTTTTTTCAATTTTGGGGGCCAGTCAGATAGACTACAATGGTTCTGTACATTCCTGTCTTCCATTGATTGTATTATTTCCAATAAAAAAATAACTGGGAAGCCTGATTTATATTTCCCACTCTGAAACTGCAATGGCTGGGAGCTGAGGAGAGAACTGCACAATGAAACGGGAAGAGCTCAACTAAACCATCAGGACGTGTCAGTTTGTTTTTACTGTTATTAAATAGCCGGTCACATTATTACCTTTATTAACATTAAAAATTATCTACTAAAAGTTCTTGGGCAGTCCCATGCTTCAAATTATGAGTAAAGGCCAAATCCACTCTCACTGAAATGCATTTTTTGCTGATTAAACTTCAGCAGGATTCCAAAGCAGACACTCTGGTCTCAAAATCATGGCTCTTGCAACTTGTGCAGAATACTCTTTGGAATTAGGTAACGAGGATGTATCCTTTTAGGAAAGATTGCACATGGACATATGTATTCCACCAGATATGGAAACTTCCCTTAGTTTACAATGGAATGTGCACTCTCTTCCTGGGGGGACACATTCTCATTACCTAACTACTGGAGACCCTTATAAGAAATCATTTTTAATGGTTTGGATAATTTTAAACATAGCATTCATTAGGTTATCCAAAATAAATTATCACTGCTTGTGCTTATATGAATATTGTTTATACTGAGCAGTGCAATCTGAAATGCACCAAAAAGAACAGCATAACCGAGACATAATTACATGTGACTGAGGAATTCTTAAATCTGACACCAAGTAGAACATTTTAATACTGTTCTAGTTCCAGTCATGACCCATCCCCTCAAGATTCACAGAAAAAAATGTAAGACTAAATGTAAATAAATTCTATACTTTGAATTCTACCTCACAACTGAATTAACAATGGGAAAAAAAGCAATGGAGTCAAGGCAAAACCTTTTTGGCTGTCTATATTCTAGAGCTAGGTGGGTTTGCAGTACTTGAGGCACTGCTGATGACAGACCAAGACAGACAGGTAAGCAGGATGTGTCCCTTCAGGAACAGAGTGCATATGAGAATTTTCATGTGTAGGTGATGTGCATGGAATTATCATCCTAATTGGCACAAAGAAAGGAAGTGGTATCAATGAAATCCTTTATTTTAATATTCAAATAAACAACTGCTTAGGGAAAGGACACATTTAGTAAAATGTATATTCAGACAGCCATGCACATCTGCCAAGTTTTACAGAGCTTTTCTGAGTTCTCAGCAAGATTATTTAGGAGCAGATAAAGATAAATAATTGCTCCACTTCTGGAAGAGATGTTAAATCTCTCCACCAATAATATTTGGATTAATTTCAGTAGCTGATGTCATCTCACTGAGGAGTTTCAGCAGCCTCAACTCCTATAACACATAGAAAGAGAAGTCCAGTGCCTGCGATTAATGTCTGTGTGGAAAGTACAAAGCCTCAGAGGTGTATCATGGAAGAGTGAAGGTGGAGAAGGATAGGGTGGTCAACAGTGGCAGAGAGTGTGAGGAGGACAAGAAGGCACAGGGAATCAAATATTAATGGGGTCAAAAATGCACTAGTCGCAATATCATGTACATAGTATTAAGTCCTGATGATAACTGGATATGTTGCATGCCAACCACAGTGGAATCCTGTAGTTTAGTGGTTAGACCACTCGTCTCGCAAGACCTAGGTTTGATTCCCGGCAGGGCAAAATGTTGGGCAAGTTTTCTACACTCCACATGCCTCTGTTTACCGAGCTATAAGTAGGAACCCGATTGCTAGTTGATTGGTGAATCACTTTTTTGCAGGGTAATAATTCCTTTTTTTAAAAAAAAATTGGTCACTCAATCCATGACTGTTTGTGGGACACTGCTGTGTGCATTTGGTTGCCACATTTTACCCCCAAAATATACAGTCAATTCAGTTTACAGTACATTCTGTGAAGCACTTTGAGACGTCTCAAAGACACAATATCAAATTAGGGATTATTAGTAGTGGTGGTAGTAATCCTGTGATTTACTTGCATCTGGATAGGTTGGAGAACAGTTGCTGTGGGTCAGCATTATACACTTCCAGTTATCAGCAGGATTGGATATTTTCAGATCATTTATCTATTTCAGATCATTTATCTAAGTCTATCCAGGTTGTAAAAATTGCACTTTCCGTTTATAATAATAATAAGTGGCATTTAAACCATTTCTCTACATAGGTCATTCTATACATATATAAACACAGAAGAATCAGTCTATTAAAGGGGCATGGCTGCCAATGTACAGTAACTTGGAAAACTTTCACTGATGTTTTATAAGCAGACAAAATAATTTGACATAATTCGATTAAAACATTATTTCATTGCTTTGTCTCACTTGCACATAAATAAAAAGCAGTACAATACTGGACATTTCTCATCCTAAATTGTGACAATATGCCTTTAAAACTACAAAACAATGGTTTGTAGTGCAGAATAATTATTTCCTGTGACTGTGCATTTTTGTCCAATTTAGGTGCAGAATATTGATGCCATTTGCAAAACAACATTCAAAGCAACTGAATAAAGTGAACCAAGAAGACACAAAACTATTAAAGGAGCAATTAATAGATCTCCTTACAGCAACTTTTAATTTTTGAGTTTTGCCCAAAAAATACAGTCAATCCTCTTTACAATATATCGACTGTGAAGAGCTTTGAGGTGCCTCAACAACGTGATAAGACATTACATCAAATGCAAGAATTATTATTAATTTCATCAAACTGTTGCTGATATAATGGTGGAATATTTCTATTCGTTATTAAAGCTGCAGACGTCAAAGAGCCGCGTACAACTAGATTGCGGCCAGAATGAATTTTGGTGTCCGAGTTCATACAATGTCATGTTTGCAACTGCTGTAACCAAAGCAATATCACATCTGGCAATGAGGCTTGCATACTGCTGACTGCAGCCCTGCACTGGGGAGAATTCTGAATTCAGCGGAATATGTGGAACTCTCCTGAGTTTGGATGGGAGACTCTTAAGCATGGTGATAGGTTTCCACATTGATCAAACACCCCCATCCCCTTGAGAAAATAATTCTGCCCTTCCGCAGCTAACCCATGCACAGAGCTCATATACCTAGGTTAACCTATTTAATGTTATCAAAGAATCAGTCGTGACAGCCCCCTAAGGGCTGGCACTGAGTGCAGCCTTTGCATTGACTCAAAACAGTCTAAGTTTACACTGCAGCTTCTCAAATTGTGCCCTGCACTTCATCCTGGGGCTCTCGACAGGTGGGGTGTGTTTTTTTTTAAAAAAAAAAGAAATCTACCTCCAGATCCAGGTGCCTTTCAACCTGAAATTGTAGCCCACCTTTTGCAGTCAGTGTGTGCACCAGACATTCATCACTTGGGGCACACCATTGCCACAAACTATTGCCACAGAACAAGTCGGGGCAATTGCCCAGTCCTACCCCTGATGAGAAAGTTGTCCCCAGCAAACCAGCACTCACTTGCTCCAGTAACTAACCACATGTAAACCCGCAGATGGGAGTGCAAGTGGAGTTGGCACTCTGCAGCCCTGAGCGTGACATGATCGATCTGTACCCATCGATCTATTGATTTCGCGCCCACACACACAAAAAAAAAAGGAGAGCAAAGGGGATAAACTCACAGTTTGCGCGATGTTTCAGGGGGTTCTGAACCCTCACCCCGGCCAGGATGAGGAACAATAAACATGGCCAGACGATCTCGGACAGTGACAGCACCTGAAACACAAGCAAAAGACCCAAGTGAGTGACCCCCACCCCAATGCTGAGCTGTGGAGAGAGATAGAGAGAGAGAGATAGAGAGAGATAGAGAGAGAGAGGTAGAGAGCAGCAGTGAGGGCAGTGTGAGGAGTGGGGCTCAGGGACCCACCGGCTGCTTCACACGGCAAAGCCAATTCTTCCAAAATATGACTTTGAACTGACGAAGAAAGGTCTTCATGATGGCACCCGGAGTGCTTTCCCCTCTGGGAGGGACTGTTCAAGTGCCCGCGATCTCCGTGTCCCCCCCGAGCTCGGTGTGTGTGTGTGTGCGGGTGTGTGTGTGTGCGGATAAACAGTTGTGCGCTTGTCGCGGGCGGCAGGTCGCAGCCGGAGTGTGAGCCGCCAGTAACCACTCACTGCACTGCACTGAGGGCAGAGGACTGAGGGAGGGACAAGAGTGACACAACACCTGAAACCAAACCACCTCCTCTCACCTGCACCTGCACCGGATTGCACAACCCCCCAAAGTGCCCACACACACTCCTGTCAGCCATGTGGCAGTCGGGCTCAGTCCCTTCTCTGCATCCAAAGGTTGTGGGTTCAAGCCCCAATGTTGGGAGGGATGTTGAGCCACAGGCTGTTGTGAGTCTGGTCTGGGGCTGACACTGCAGTGAAGTGCTAGATCTTACTGCATTGCCCTTTGAATGAGATGTTAAACTGAGATCCCATCCGGCTGTTTGGCGGACATTATAGATCCCCCCTTGCCATGATTCGAAAGAGAAGGGCGTTTCTCCTGATGATCTGGCCAACCATCATGTTTTTTGGTGGGGCTCGTGCACAAATTGGCTGCCATGTCTGCCTACAAATTCACCAACACTACACTTCACAGTAAAATCCCGTGAAGCGCTTTGAGACTTCTTAACAATTTGATAAGGTGCTTTATCAAATTGAAGGATTATGAGTACAGTATTTATGTCCTCACGCAGTCTTTTCTCATAAATTGCAACATATGAAACATACCACTAACGTCAATGTTACTAGAGTTTATAGAGTACACAATTTTTTAAAAAAATAAAAAACACTCACCTGTTCTCGCTACATATACCTAAATATACTGTATACACCAAATTGTATGGGTAGAAAGTAACAATGTTCACATCACATGATTCTCATGCAACTTTCCTTGCTGGAGAGTTTATAGATGATGTCAACTATGACAACCTTGTAATTGGTCATTTTTTTTAAAAAAAATTAAAACGTAATGACCAATTTTATCTAATAAAACCAATTCCTCTTTTTTTCCTTCACCTTCTGATCTGTCTCACTTTGAACTTGATTTTTTCTAATAGAGGAGAGACTGGAATAAGTATTACAAGATATTACAGATATCTTGTGTTCAGAAGAAAAAAGATATCTACTATAATGAGGGGCAAAGGCTACAGAGTATGCAGACTATTAAACTTACACTGTAAGTGCTGAAGTAGAAGATGCAGGATGTCCTTCAGATGGCACATTAAACCAAAGCCCGATAGCTTATTCAAAAGTATGTTAACGAAACCCATGGCACTATTCAAAAAGAGAAGAGAGTTTCTCCTGGTGTCCACAATACCCCAAATAAAACTGGTCAATCCCTTCATGGCTGGTTGTGGGACATTATTGTGTGCAAATTCACCCACATAAATAGTCCCATCACTTTACAATAAATCCCATAAAGCACTTCAAAACATCTTCCTGTCATGAAAAGTGCTGTGTCAAATACAAGAATTATTATTATTAATAATATAGAAATGTAAAGAAGAGAAAAAGATCACTGCAGTCCATCTGGTCTGTCCCAAAGTAAAATAAACAAACAATCTTATTTCTCATCCTCTCCATAGACATGCACAGCACAGAAGAAGGCCATTCGGCCCATTGTGTCCCTCAATCAATTTCTTCACCCAATAGCTCTCTAATTTCTTTTTGAAATTGTTGACACAATGTGCCTTCCAACCCTCCACCCCCCTTCCCCCACTCTATTCCATATACAGTACAGTATTTACTGCTCTCTGTCTAAAGAAGTCAAAATACCCATCAGGATCTTGAATACTTCAATGGGATCTTCATGAGCAATCTATTATATGTGAATATTCCCAGCTTCCATAGCCTCTCTTTGTAATGGCCAATTCATCTATCAATTCAGTTGTCCTTTGCTGTACCCTTACTGTAATGTGGTGACCACAATTCCAAAAGGTACTTTAGGTGGGACCAAACCATTGTTCTGCAGAACCTTCCAGTATCACTTTCTGTAACTTCCTGTAACATAAATTAACAGTTTAAAATCAACATTTCTCAAACTGGTTTAGAGACCTACCTCTTTTTCTATACTTTTGACCTCTATAAGCTTGCTATATCGCCAAATCAGTTTTGTTTAGATTCCCGGATAACATAAGCTACATGAGCTGTACTGTACCACACCTAGAATTGTGTATAAGTCTAGTTGTTGCGACATAAGGGGGCCGTCCAGTCCAAGAGGCAGTGAGATACAAATGAGAGAAATGAGGATGTAAGAGGAATTAGCTATAATAATACTAATAATTTATTGCTCTCTGCCTAATAATAATAATCCGTACATTTGGTACTATGCCTTTCAAGTCAGAAAGACATCCCAAAAGCACTTCACAGGACATCCTGTAAAGTGCAGTGATTGTGTGTTTTGTAGATGAACACAGTAGGCAATTTGTGCACAACCATATCCCATAAAGAACCATGAAGTGAATGACCAATTTTATTTGGGGATCATTGGCCAAAGGTTGATATGTTAAACTGAGATAGCACCTCCAACAATGAAGGACATCCCAGCACTGCATTGGAATGCCAGCTGAGACTCTATGAGTTGTGAACAATAATTAGACAAATAAGGACAACAGGCTTGAAAGGAGACATCTCAGAGGGGAACTTATTGAGGTATTGAAGCTCCAGCCTGCTTCACGTCCCTACCTCGCCCGCCGCACCATTGGGAGGTGAGCCTTCAGTCACTCTGCCCCCACCCTCTGGAACTCCATCCCGCAGTCCCTCTGCCTCACTCTCTCCCTTGCCTCACTCAAGACCCATCTCAAGACCTACCTCTTCGACCGTGCCTTTGATCACAACAACAACAACTTGCACTTATATAGTGTCCTCCATGCAAGGTAGTGTCTCAGAGCATTTAAAACGAGGTATTTCAATTCCCTCATAGGTATGACCTGGACTGCCCAGCCCAGGAGGAGAGGATTTAGGTTCTCCCTCCTTCTCCCCCCTGCCCTCCACCCTCTTTGATCCCCAGGTTGGGTCCAAAATATTGACTGTCCAGTGCCTTGCGACGTCCTCCCGACGTGAAAGGCGCCATACAAATGTAATTTTGTTGTTGTATATAATATTTTAAATGGAATTGAAAATGTACACCTGGAATAATGCTTTTGGATGCACAAGGCAGCAAAATATGATACAGGTTTAGGTGGGAAGAAGGCAATATTGAAGACAGACACCAGGAAGTATTTATTTACCCAGAGAGCAATTAAGGACGGGAGCAGGTTATCAAAAAGGATGGTTGAGACTGGACTCATCTGGGGGAAAAAATGATTCTGTAGTGAATATGGTGAGTACATGTTGGGTATTCTGGATGAATGAGATCAAATGGGCCAAGGGATCTTCTTCATCCAAACCTCTTTTATGATCTTGTGATATTGCAAAAAAGGGTTAACAGATTGTTCATTCGTATATGGGAAATCTAAATTGCTCTTTGATAGTACAGCACTTCCAGCTTCTGTGTGCTCCCACTAGAATCCATGAGAAATCTGCAGTATTACAACATTGTTTAGTTGACACTTGTTGCGTGTTTCTTGCAAAGATGCAGAATGCTCTGACCAGAAGATTCAGAAGAAGTGGAGATTCAGTAGCAGTTGCTTACATTTCACCCAATAGCTGTCATCCAAAGCCTCAGAATTTCATCATCAGCTATTCAACAGCTACTTTCATTCTGGTGAAACAACCTACACAGGATAACTTGCAGGTATGAGCCATCTTGATGTTCTAGAGGTCTATGTCCAAAGCCAAGTATGAGCCTTACTCAATCTCCTTACTTATTTACTCCACCTCGCCCCTCCCTTGCCTCCTTTAAGACCTGTCTCAAGACCCTCCTCTTTGACCCTGCCTTCAATCACCCTCCTACCCCTACCCTCCCCCCATCCCTCTTGATCCCAATCACCAGCTCGGATGCAAATCCCAGCACCTTGGGACATCCTCCTGATGTGAAAGGCGCTAATCAAATGTAATTTGTTGTTGTTTGTCGCAGGTCCTCATGTGAGGCAACTTGACAAAGAGATAAGTTCTGCTCAGGTCGTTCAGAAGTACTTTTTGAAGCCACTTACTAATAAATTTCATATTGTCACATTGATTGTTTCCTTGATTATTGGAGGCGCATTACTCTCCCCTCCCCCACGCCCCACATGTAGTTCTCAATTATAGCACCCACACAGTTGCCTGTCACATTGTTCATCTGGTGGGTGTTTTCGACTGATTAGTGGAATATCTGCTAGTCTGAGTATTTTGTTTAGTTAAAAGTTGTCTTTTAACTAAGCTGTGGATTCCACCACAGTTTATGGAGTCCGGTAGCTTAGTGGTTAGAGCCCTCGCCTCGCAAGCGAGAGACCTGGGTTCAAATTGTTGGGCAAGTTCCTTACTCCACACGCCTCTGTTTACCCAGCAGTAAGTAGGAATCCGGTTGTTAGTCAATTGGCGGATCGCTTTTCCGGGGCTAATAATTCTTTCAAAAAATAATAAATTGGTCACTTCAATCTAAGACTGTTTGTGGAACGTTGCTGTGCACAATTGACTGCAGCGTTTTGCCCACAAAATATAGTCAATTCACTTTACAGTATATTCTGTGAAGCGCTTTGAGACGTCTAGAAGACATGATAAGGCGCTATATCAAAATGCAAGGATTATTATATCCCACTAATCAGCACTGAACTGCCAAGTTAACATCACTT